GACCTGGACTGCATTCCTGGCTTCCAGTTCAGCCTCAGGCCAGCCACATATTGTAAGCATATGGGGAGCAAACCAGTAGATAGGAGCTCACTCTGTCTCTGACTCTATCTTTCTGATTCTCTGTTAAACATTTTAAAAAGAAAGAAAAACCATGCACAAACATCAAAGTGTTTCCTTAGGAGGCTAGACTCAGAAATCAGTTAAAATGCAGAACAGCACCACGTGCCAACTGTCAGAGCCCTCTGGACCTGAGCTCCTCCAGGGCAGGCACTTGGTCTCACTAGGCTCAGTACTCCCCGTACCCACCACACAGCACCTGAGGTGCTCAACAGACACCTGCTTTGTTCAGTGGAAAATATTATCACCATCACTCTAGACATTTTTTCTTTCAGCTTCCCACCGATTCCAAGGTACTCAGAAGTGGTAGTGTTGAGTATAATATCCTGACACAGAGTCCTGATAACCCAGGGTAACATTAATTATCTAGACACTCCAACATGCCACAGCAAAAGTTTGTTTTAAAAAACTAACCCAAGTATACTCGACTCTGCAATATCAAAGAGAAAAAAAAATCTCATTCTTAAGAGTACTTTTCCTAAGTTACCTTTTTTTTATTTTTCTGAGAGCTATGGCAATTTTTATACGATCTTTTAAGGTTTAAAAAATGGCTTAAGTCTACAGTAGAAGATGGGCCAAATGCTTGGCGCACCTGCACCTGTGTGGGAGACCCAGAAGAAGCTCCTGGCTCCTCACTTTGGATCAGCTCAGCTTCGGCCGTTATGGCCATTTGGGGAGTGAACTGGTGGATGGAAGCCGCCCCCCCCCCCCGCCTCTGCCTCTCTGTAGCTCTGTCAAATAAATAAATAAATCTTTAGGCCAGCGCCATGGCTCACTTGGTTAATCCTCTGCCTGTGGCGCTGACATCCCATATGGGTGCCGGGTTCTAGCCCCAGCTGCTCCTCTTCCAGTCCAGCTCTCTGCTGTGGCCCAGGAAGGCAGTGGAGGATGGCCCAAGTCCTTGGGTCCCTGCACCCACATGGGGGACTGGGAAGAAGCACCTGGCTCCTGGCTCCTGGCTTCGGATCGGCATAGCTCCGGTAGTAGTGGCCACTTGTGGGGTGAACCAACGGAAGACCTTTCTCTCTCTCTCTCACACTGTCTAACTCTGTCAAATAAATTTTAAAAAAATTCAAATAAATCTTTTAAAAAATGGCTTAAGTGTAGTAGCAATCAGAAGAGTGCTTCTCTTTTCTAGGATTCAACTACCCAAGCCAGAGACCGCAAGGTAGTGTTGAACTGACCCCCAAACCCTAAAATTCTTAAGTCCCTGTACTAGTATGGGATGTGAGAGCAGCAACCTAAGCTCCACCACTGAGCTGAAGCCATCAGTGCTTGGCTCATCAAGTAAGTCAAGTCCTCCTTCTTTCATTAGATTAGAGATGGAATTATTAAGACCTTAAGAGACTAAATTCCAAAAAAAGAAAGAAAAAGAAACTAGATAGCTAACCCTCCAACAAGTCAAATCTGACTGGTCATACGGAAGCAATCTGAGTGATAACTAGTTTACCTAATGGTGACCTCAAATTCGTTTTTTCTAGAGATTTTGCCTCCACAGAGTCCTGTGTATAACTCTCTTACTTAGTATACTAACTGAAACTGTCTCTGCAACTTTCTCAGTAGAAAAACTGGACAATTCTCTGGGATAGAGACCTGTTGATTTAATACTCCCAATGAACACATTTTTTAAAATGTTAACAATTCATTTCAGAGCGGAGAAAGAGCTCCCATTAGCTGGTTTGTTCTCCAAATGCCTCCAGCAACCAGCATTGCAGCAGGTCTCCCACGTGGGTGGCAGGGATCTAGCTGCTTGAGCCATCACCACTGTCTCCCAGAGAGAACATCAGCAGGAACTTGGAATCAGGAGTCAGAGACATGAGATGTAGGCATCCTAACTGCTAGGCCAAATGCCAGTAGCCTTATGAATTCTTTTAGGACCCAGTACCAAGCAAAAGTCCTTGGGCCACAGTAGGCAGAAAATGAACATGCTAAAGTTCCTAAAATAAATGACACACTTGCCATTCTGTAGGATTCTTGCAGGGGTAAAAGGCAAAAAGCTATGGTAAGCCTAAAAGCCTTTACTAGAAGGGATGAAACTTTAATAATAAAAAAGACTAGGAGCCGGTGCTGTGGCTCAGTGGGTTAACGCCCTGGCCTGAAGTGCCAGCATCCCATATGGGCGCTGGTTCAAGTCCCAGCTGCTCCACTTCCGATCCAGCTCTCTGCTATGGCCTAGGAAAGCAATAGAAGATGGTCCAAGTCATTGGGCCCCTGCACCCACATGGGAGACCCGGAAGAAGCTCCTGGCTCCTGGCTTCGGATCAGCGCAGCTCTGGCTGTAGCGGCCATCTGGGGAGTGAACCAGCGGGTGGAAGACTTCTCTCTCTCTTTCCCTCTTTCTCTCTCTCTCTTTGCTTCTCCTCTCTCTGTGTAACTTTTTCAAATAAATAAATAAATCTTTAAATAATAATAATAAAAAGACTAAATACCCAAGTAAAAGGTTAGAGGGGACAAGAACTAGCAGACTTTTCAACAGACTACTCTGTTTACCCAGTTCACTGCCAAAACAGGGAGAAGGGAGAAAATGTACAGATGAGAAAGAAAAGCCACACTTGACTACCTACCCCCTTAAAAAGAGACACCGTGGAGCTTCTAGTTTGTGATATGTAAATCCCTAAAGAATAAAAGATGCTCTGCGGGGCCAGCACCGTGGTGTAACGGGTAAAGCCGCCGCCTGTGGTGCTGGCATCCCACATGGGTGCTGGTTCAAGTCCCGGCTGCTCCATTTCTGATCAAGCTCTCTGCTATGGCCTGGGAAAGCAGTGGAAAATGGCCCAAGTCCTTGGGCCCCTGCACCCACATGGGAGATCTGAAAGAAGCTCCTGGCTCCCGGCTTTGGATCAGCACAGCTCTGGCTGTTGTGGTCAAATGGGGAGTGAACCAACAGATGGAAGATCTCTCTCTCTCTCTGCCTCTCCTTCTCTCTCTGTGTAATTCTGACTTTAAAATAAATAAATAAATAAATAAATAAATAAATAAATAAATCTTTAAAAAAAATGCTCTGAATTACAATGTAGTCAGCTGGGGCTTGTGGTGTAGCAGGTAAAGTCGCCGCCTGCGATGTCAGCATCCCATATGGGTGCCATTTTGTGTCCTGACTGCTCCACTTTCAATCTGGCTCCCTGTTAATGGCCTTAGAAAAGCAGAAGATGGCCCAGGTCCTCGGGCCCTGCATCCATCTGGGAGACCCAGAAGAAGCTCCTGGCTTCAGCCAGGCCCAGCCCTGGCCATTGCAGCCATCTGGGGCATGAAGCAGCATAAGGAAGAGCTCTTTCTCTCTCTCTGTCTCTCCCTCTTTCTGTAACTCTGACTTTCAAATAAATAAATAAATAAATCTTTTTTTAAAAATGTGGTCCGTCACAATCACAGGGGTTAACATGGAAGAAGGAGAAATGGGAAGAAAGAGCACTTGTGCAGTGAGGCACACTCACCATCACACGCACATATGCAGCTCCACAGTGGAGCAAAGTTAACGCTCATTCACCCTCCTCCAGGATTCCACCTGCTTGGTAAGGGTCTGGTCTGCCCTTTCGCTGATGAAGCATAAACATTCGCATCCTGACTCTGAGACTGGGGCTCCTTTAATCAAGGAGGGCTTGCAGGAAATATCCACATATTATTTACAGAGCCATCATTACTTGTTCTTCACTCAGGGCGCTGAGAAAGCCACTCAATTTGAATAGGTGGCCCGCATTTCAAATTGATGGGAGCTCAGAGACCACAATGAGGCTTGCTCAGTGGTTTTCAGCCCTGGCTGCACATGAGGATCACCTGGAGAGCTTTTGAAGCCTACTAGTGCAGCGTCTCAACCCAAAGCAATTAAATCAGAACGGCTAAGGGTAAGATTCACACACTGGATTTCTCTTTCTTTTTAAAGCTCCATTAAAGAATTGTTTAATTGATTTTCAGCATGATGAAAGCAAGTGATTATGTATATTTTTTAAAAAGATCTTTACCATAAATAGAAGATTTCCTTTCAAATATACCATAGAGATGATGGCTTTGTCTAGTTAAGATTGGCAAAATGTTGGTAAATATTGATGCTGGGTGATGGATGCACAGGAATTGATTATATTATCTGCCTTACTTTCATATTTTTAAAATTTTGTATAAGAAAAATTTTTATTTAACGAAATCAGCAGAATTAAACATTTGCTCCTTGTGTACCAAAATACATACAAGTATACACGTAAAATGTATTTAACATAAAATATTTTTACAACAAAGTAAAAACTTTGCAAGCAATTCTAATGCACAACCAGAAATGAGAACCACTAAGCTACATCATCAAAAGAAGGGCAATTTGATCTGGAAAACAAAGATCAAAATAAGCAACAAGAAGCAATCTAGGGAAGAGAGATTCAGCTCAGCCTTGTGGCAAGATGAAGCCCAGTGAAGCTGGTGGCCTCCTCTAGTCAGTCACCATCTCTGGTTTCTGGCATACACATCTGACCTAATTTTGAGACTCTTCATTCAGAAGCAAATACACACACACACACACACACACACACGTATGTCTATGTACACACCTCTGTATGTGTATACATTATTTAAGACAGCACTGCCAATTTTATTCTGTGGCATGTAATTTTTCCAAAACAGCATTTATGGAAGCGTTGCCTATGACCTAAAACACTTCGGTCTGTGGAACAGTCCCACAAAAGCATTCCTCAGGAGTGGGCTGGAGGGTGAGGGCTGGATGTGTGGTTTTGGAACTGGCAAATTCTTCATCTACCTAAGGAAATTTGGAGCCATGCTGCTTAGAGGGCTCTAACACCTGGTATGACCAGGGGGAAGGGTCCAAAAGAATGAATAAGCCTCCACTTAACTAACAGGGAATGCATCAGAACACCCCACGCTCCACCTCCAAAACCCCGACTCACCTATTCTTCTCCATTTCATTGTGAGTTGACCTGAAAGAGGAAACAATAAGAAAAGAGTAAGATTCTCATGAAAGAGCTATTTCAACACCAACACGATTATTTTAACTTCATTCTCTCCAAAACTGGTAGAAGATGAAGAAAGGGAGAAAAATTCACTGGGCTCCACTAAAGAAATTAGTCCATTGGAGGAGTGATATCAATATAAATATCTAAAATAGAGTTCAGAGAGAAGTGACAAACTAAGAGACATGCATTCCCTAGTGAAAAAGTAATCCTTTTTAAGAAAGGAAATAAAGGGTCTATTTATACGAAGAGAGAAACAGCTGCACCACACAATGTGAATTTGGGTTATATAATACCACAAATCTTTCTTCAGGCTAAGAGTAGAACAGTAGAGGTGGCACCCTTACCCCATCCCCTGCAGTTTTTCCCCAGGGGTAGCCTACACCAGAATTTTACGTTGACTATATGGATACAGTTTTAAACAGTAAAACAACCTCCCTCCAGTTTTCAACTCCCTGAAGTAACTGTATTATTAAATACAATCTCCCGAAACATGCTACTGTTGAGTAGCTACCACATGATTTTAGGAAGGGGTTTCCAACACTGAGCTCAAAAAATAGAGGATAGGCTGGTTAAAGGAGACATTAGGATGAGAGCTGAAGTCCACCTTTGCCAATGATTAGAAGAAATATATATATATAATTTATACAAATATATATTTGTGTATTTATATAAATACATTTATATAAATTAAATATATATTTACCATCCTGACTTTGGTTAACTCCTCTGTAAAATGGGAATAAAAATAATTGCCAACAGTCTACTGAACAAGTATGGATCAATGAAGTAACAACTATAAAAGTGATTAGAGAGCCCAGGATGCAAGGTGTGGTGGATATGAAATCACATCATTAGTATGTTTATAGCCGACCTTGAAGATAAGGTCTGGTCTAAGACTTCATGGACAGGTTTCCACAAAGTCACCAGAAGCCAGTCAATGTGGCCCCTTTAGCAACCCTCTTACATCACTCCTCCCTGTCAAGTTATAAACATAAGGAATCTTCTAGCTGAATATAATGGAGCTGAATTCTGACCTTTCTTATGGAAATGCTCTGGAATTTAACCAGTTCAGGAATTCACTCTCTGACTCAGGACATGAATTCTATAGGGCCATAATTGGTACCTTACTGGTCGGAGAAGATAAAGTCTCACAGCAGTCACATCAGGGGACACCACCACCAAGTTCACTCACACCAGAGGCCAGGGATGGGGTGCATGTGTGTGCATACACATGTGTATATATACATATGTGTGAAGTGTGGTCTAAAAATGAAACCCTGCATTAAATATCTCCTCCATAAGGCGCTTGGGAAATCAATTTTTATTCAGAAGTACCAACAAAGGATAAAATAATGATAGTATTTATGATAGTATTTTAGAGTCTGTGTTTCCTAGGGAAATTTCATGTGGACCTCAAAGTTGGATAACATAAAAACTTTGAATTGATTTGCTTGGCTATCCCAAGTGTATGTTCTTCTGTTGCATTTCCTTCCATTGTCAGCAACATACCATAATTAACAAGAACTGAAAACCTTTGGTTTTAAAGCACGTGGCATTTTAGCTTTAACTGGGAATAGTAAGTTCAAAGTCTGAGAGATTTTTTAAGTGGATGAAAGTATACAACAACAGCTGCTCGAGATTTCCCTACAGAATGGCAGACAAGAACCATTTCAAGTAGGTCAAAGACAGGAAGGTAAATAGGTTGACAAGGCAGTAGAAAAATAACAACCCATAGGGAACTCTTACCAAAACTGTCTTGATTCTTTGAAGAGAAACAGATAGGCTGATAGACATATTAACATATATTTGTATAAAATTTGAAAGCCCTAAGATAGATTTCTTAATAAACTCCATAGGAAACATAACTCCTTTCAAACTTTAATCGGAGTTTTAGATTCTATACATTTCACTTCATCACTTAAAGAGTGTTGAACACATGGCACTTTTTAAAGGGGGACTTAAACGTAATGCTGAAGTGCATTAGGCTTACTGAGACTAAGTTAGTCATTAAAAACAAAAAAGTAGATCTTTCAAAAGTAACCAGTTCAGAGATCTCCTCAAATGATGGGCAAACATTTATATATTTAAATAAAACATTATAAAAATGCATAGACAGCTTAAATCATAGATATTTTCCATATGATTATTGAGGATTTGATAACTCAAATCACCGATAGAGGACAAATTTCAACATTTAAAAACATACTCTAGGGGCTGGTGCTGTATAGTATAGCAGGTAAAACAGCCACCTGCCGTGCTGGCATCCCAAACGAGCGCAGGTTCGAGACCCAGTTGCTCTACTTCAGATCCGGCTGTTATGGCCTGGGAAATCAGTGGAAGATGAACCAAGTCTTGGGCCCCCATGGGAGACCCAGAAGAGGCTCTTGGTTCCTTGGTTCCTTGTTTAGGATAGGCCCAGGTGCCGGCACTGTGGCACAGTGGGTTAAAGCCCTGGCCTGAAACAAAGGCATCCCATATGGGCGCCGGGTTCTAGTCCCAGCTACTCCTCTTCTGATCCAGCTCTCTGCTAGGGCCTGGGAAAGCAGTAGAAGATGGCCCAAGTCCTTGGGCCCTTGCACCCGTGTGGGAGACCCAGAAGAAGCTCCTGGCTCCTGGCTTCGGATCGGCGCAGCTCCGACCATTGCAGACATCTGGGGAGTGAACTAGTGGATGGAAGATCTCTTTCTCTGTCTCTACCTCTCTCTGTAACTCTTTCAAATAAATAAAATAAATCTTAAAAAAAAAAAAAAAAGGATAGGCCCAGCTCCAGCCATTAAGGCTATTTAGGAAGTGAACCAAGTTGTTGTTGTTGGTGGTGTCTCTCTCTGCCTTTGCCTCTTTGTAACTGACTTTCAAATAAATAACTCTTAAAAAAAAAAAAAATACACACACTCTAAGGGACCTACACTGTGGCTCAGTGGGTTAAAGCTGCAGCCTGCAGCACCAGCATTCCTTACTGGTGCCAGTTCAAAAACCAGCTACTCCACTTTTGATCCAGCTCCCTACTAATGTATCTGGGAAAGCAGCAGAGGATGGCCCAAGTCCTTGGGCTCCTGTACCCACACGGGAGACCTAGCAGAAGCTCCTAGCTTTGGCCTTGGCCCAGCCACGGTTGTGCAGCCATTTGGGGAGTGAGCCAACAGATGGAAGATCCTCTCTCTCTCTCTGTCTCTCCTTCTCTCTCTCTAACTCTGCCTCTCAAATAAATAAATAAATTTCTTTTAAAAAATACTCTGATAAAAAGACAAAAAAATACTCTGATAAAAAGCCAAACTGAGTGTACCTGAGAAATGGGAAAAGTCAGGCTACAAGGATTCCCCATGTCAGGTCGCTATACAGATACCGTCTGAAAGAACTGGGTGGCAAGTCTTCAACTTCCTCTTTCATATGAGTGCCAAGGCCTGCTTCACTAATTTAACAAAACACACCTTTCAAGGTTCCAGACTTCAATTCTAAATAGTCAGTAACTGATTTCAAACATCAGTAGGAAGGACAACATGATTCCATCTTACTGTGTTATCCAGTAAATTTTTGGATGATTCAAAAAAAAAAAAGTCAATATTCACACTTTCATTTTTTGCTGTTGGTTTCAACAAGCAGCTTTTAAATAAGCTGGACTTTCCATTCCTAAGAAGTCTGATATGTGGCTACCTCCTATTTTTTAGGAATAGTACTCCCCCAGGGTACAAGCAAACAGCACGATGTTTCAACCTGAATGAACAAAAATAAACTGTTTTTTCCAAGGGTTATTGTAAACTAGCAATAATCTATCTCAGCCCTCTCCTCAGTCAAAATTCTGACAACACATGGCCTCAAACCTAAGACTGATTTCAAGTCAAGAGGTCAAAACACTCTCTCTGCTGAGACAGCCTGCTCCTCAGATAAGAGCACTCTGACAGGTCATCAGGAAATGACGATACTTAAATAAAACTACCTCCTCTTGCTCATATGTTTGCTTGGTGCCATCTCCATGTTTAATCATGGTCCCTCAGAAATCCTTCCACCAGTGAATATTTTACACCATTCATGATTACTCCAGTATATGGACAACTGGGAGAACCTCCTGTCTTTGACCAAATTCATTAACCAAACAAAGCTTTTCCAAAAATTAGGATTTGCAGCCATTTCTCCTGGAATAATGCTGGTTATTAAAGAGAAGAATGAGAAAAAACTCATTTCTTGGCTTGAAATTCTCAACTATCATTTTTTTTCCTAGTTACCTTTTGGGATCAAGCCATTTTTCCTCAATACCATCTCCTTTTCCTCTCCTCACCATTCAACATTGCTCCCTCCCAACCTTCCTGTGAAACTTGGAAGAAAATTAAGTGTTAACGTATTAAGCTTCAACTAATAATGTAGACAACTCCTCTTAACTCATGAGTGGACAAGAATAAAAGCAAAAATGGACTCCACTTTTTCCAAAAAGTAAATGGAAAGCCCTCAAATTTCTTCCAAATCTTTTAAAATTAATACTGCAACAGAATGCAACACAGCTTAACTGCTTTTATCCCACTGCACAACATGGGTCGGTATCAGCACCCTTCTTAAAGGACCTTAGTATCCACACACAGAACCACTGGCGACCACTTTGAGGTAATGGACGATGGGAGGACAAGGACAATCCACCAGGTAGCTAACAGGTTCATCCTCCATGTGCCTTCTTATCCCACAGCACAGCACAAGTGTGCTGCTCCCATCCAGCTCTAAGGACAATGGGGGAACAAAGGACAGAGGAGGCAGCAGCAACAGTGAGTTTCAGGCCTAAGTGGGAGCTGCCTGGCGTTGAGTGGTCTGTGTGAAAGCCACCAGGGCTGCCCAAATAGCAGGGAGTTGTTCACGAGGGGGAGGGAGGGATAAGGACTCTAAATCAGTGATGAAATGTCAATGATTTCAATTTACTGGCTTGAGGGGTATAATTGAATGGATCCAATAAAACAGGTTTCCTAGCCAACTAATATTTTAAAGGCAAAGAGGGGGGAAAAGGGCAGTAACATTGATGGGCTATTTATATGTACTAGGAAACAGGCTTAGGACTTTAATATGCGATTTCACTAACCACTAACCAGATCATCTCCAGCGACATTCACAGCTTTTAAAAACTAAAAGACGATCCAGGAGGCTAACATGACAAAGTGGCAGCATATTATCACCGTAATATTATATGTTCCTCCATCACCAGAGGTAGGTTTTAACCACAATCATGCCTCTTTGCCATTATAAACAGACGTGACAAATTAAATTACCAATCCACTGTAAATAATTTACATGTCAAATATAAAGTCCTACCACCTATGCCAAGCCAGATCCTTAAATCTGTTGATAAAATCTTCACCACGTAAAGGAATAATATCCAGCATTCTGAATTATAGAAAGCATACCCTGAACCTGCAACTTCTGATGGCAAAATACTGAACCTATTGCTAATCTCACTTGTGGTTTCCACAGGTTTTTGTTCCAAACGGGAAGAAAAGCAAAATTAAATTTTAAAAAAGTTTGTAAAGAAATGAAAAACAATTTCTATTTTTCTTTCCTTTTCAGTTCTCTCAACTCAAACCGAAGAGCTGCTTCCTCCAGTGGCTTAAGCCCATGTGTGCATTACTGAATCCTGATCACCACTTAATGTATTTACAGGGTTAGACACAACACACAAGTTACATTCTGCAGTTTGTATCCCCTACAGTAGAATCTACAAGAAAGAGAAATATTTACCAAATTACCTGCTACTGCTGCTGTTCTTCTTGGATTTGTTCCTCCTTTTTAAGGCATCTCTGTCCTTGTTATTGTATGGTAACATGGAGGCATAACCATGCTCAGCTTCTGGAAAACCGGAGGATCCAGTTAATGAATGAGCCCAGAACATTTAATACTCGCTCCCCTCCACAGTGTTTCCTTGTCCATTTATTTATTTATCTTTAAAAGAATATTGTGGAAATTATTCAACGGAGCAAGGTGGAATTCTGAGAACAATGATTTTTTCTTTAATTGTGTGAGTGTCCTCAGTTCGGAGCAGGTGTAAGGAGGATTCCAGCTGCTCATTGTTGAGAAAGACACACGGCAAGTGGCTAAGCTCACGGAGCCGGGGATTCCCACTGGCCACGACCAGCAGGTTGGTGTCGGCGAAGTGGGACCAGCCTCAGGCGGAGGTGCGGGACCGGCACCGCGAGCCCGGGGACAGGGGCGCCCTGCTCCCTGGCCTGGGAGACGGGGCGCCGACCCTCTTGGGGGACCTGCCGGGACCAGCCCAGGTGAAGTAAACCAGAGGACACCGGCTGAGGGGGCCGCGGGCATCCCACCCGCGCTGAGGTGCGGCGGGGGCAGCGCTCGGGACCCCGGCGGGCAGCAGCCCCCTTTCCACCCCCATTCATTGCTTTTGGGGGGGCAGCGGCGACCTCTCTTGGAGTCGCGAGTGGAGAGAGCCAGAGGGGTTGGGAGCGCTCGCGGTCGCGCTCTCCGCTCCTCCAACCACCTCCGGAGCGGCCGGGCGCCCGACCCCGCGGCCAAGCTCCTCAGGGCCCCCGGCCCCGGCTCAGTCTGGACCCCTCCCGTCCCCGTGCACCTCTCTCTCGCCGCTCCAGATAGTCGGCCGCCTCCAGCAGCATCTGGATGTTCATCCGAACCGCCGCCGCCATTCTGCACCGGGGGCCGGAGCCACGGGACCAACCCCCACTGCCCACGGGCTCGCCGCCGCCGCCGCCGGACACCCGCGCCCCGCTATGGACCCCGCAGAGCAGGGCTGAAGGAGCCTCTCTGGCGACCACGCTCGCCGGGAGGGGGAGGGGGTCAGTGAGCTGGGCACCACCGACACCGTGACAGAACCCTGACAGAGCAGCAGCCGCCACCGCCGCGGAGTGTTTATCCCCGACTCACCATCCCCCCGCCCCCAGCCCCTTCTCTTGACAGGCCCGCTTCGGCTGCTTCCCTCATTGGACACTCCAAAGACTGCCCCGCCCCTACACTCGTGCGATTGGGGAAGGGCTTCACGGCCCCGCCCCCCAAAGTCCGCTCCTCTCGCTGGTTGGCCGCTCTTGACAAGAACCGGGCACCACCCCCTCTCTCCAATTGGTGACAGGATTCGCAACTCCGCCTCGTGCCCCTTCCTTGTTTTCCATTGGTTCTATACCGACAACCGGGCCCCCTTTTGCTTTGTTAGTATTGGCCAAGAGCTGTAAAAAGCAAGCCTCTTCGCCTGTCTCCCATTGGTGCAGCCTTCGGACACCTCCCAGCTACGATGATGTCACCTTTCTCCAGGCCCGGCGAGCCCTGAGTGGCCGACGGTCAGCAGCCCGGCTGCACATCCCCAGGTCTGGCATTGGCTGGGAGGGCCGGCCGGGAGCCGGGCGGCCCTGACTCACCGGCCGCCGCCGTGCTCGGTTCTGCCCGGCCCCGCCTCGGACCTGTTGCCTAGATCTGTCTCCGGGGAAAACTTCCGGGACCTGCCGGGCGTCCCTCGAATGGAAGGCTGGCACTTCGCGTCGCCTGGGCTCTCTGTCCTTTGGGGTTCGGGGCCGGAGCCCTGGGCCTGGTGGCCGAAGTCTGGGAGGTTCCGGGTTCCCCTAGACAGGGATCCAGCGGCCGAGGACCCTGCTGTGAATCCTGCGGAAGGAAGAGCGGCGCCGGCGGCTCAGCGGGTGGCCGGCCCGTGGGCGCCACGTGGCTGTGGGCAGGAGGGGAGAGCGCGCTGGGGCGGGCGCGCAGCGTGGCGCTCCTCTCCAGAGGCGCCTTTTCCATCCCGGGAAGCGCGTTATGAGTGGGTTTCAAAAGCTCAGGAACTCCCTGGACCTACAGATAACGCGGAAGCCCCAGGATTCTTTGACCCAAATCTCTTATAGAGTCTTTTCTCTCAATTTCAGATGAAAACGTTAAAAAGAATACTGCCTTTTCAAGACGGCTACAAAGGGTGTGGGGTGGTGCCAATATAAATGCTTAACAGAATATTACACATTAAGAACTAAAAAGCTTAAGGATCGCTCTGTAAACCCATCAAGAATTCTGAAATGAAAGCTAGCTAGAGACCCAGGTTACATTAACATACTGATATCTCCAATTTAAAAAGTGGAAATAACGCTTTTGGCAAGCTGAGGATCCCCAAAACAGAAGTGAAGCATGAATATGTTTCTTTTTGTAAAAAGGTTCTTGTCTATATGTAACAACGGCTTACTATGTAATTCGCCTCTGTCATGCGATCTGTGTTAATTATCCACATTCTGCACATGTAGAAAAGACCCAGAAGTGGAATTCCAGGTCATCCATTCACCTGCAGAGATGAGAATTACCCAGGGCCCAAGCCACCAATCCTCCCGGGGTGGTGGTACATTACACAGATTTCAAGACTGAGTCACAAAATGCCAACTAAAACACTGGATGAAAGAATGGCAAATATATAAATGTAATCAGGGTGGGGTTTTTTAAATGGATTATGAATCCATTAAAATTAGGCAACAGTAAGTAGAAAACATGTAGCAAACCATGCTTGACACATAGAAAACACGTCTTTTGGTCTTAATGGTTAATTCAGTGTAAAAGTTGTTTCTTCATGAACATATTAATTCGATAAATACATTGAAGGTGAAGGTTTTCAAGAGGCAATAAACAGTTGGAAAAGGTAATGGGGATATAAACAGTTTGACTATGTTCATAATTGTATGTTATTTATTTTTTTTAAATTAATTTTGATTTTTAAAAATTTTTGACAGGCAGAGTTAGACAGAGAGAAAGATCTTCCTTTTTCTGTTGCTTCACCCCCCAAAGGGCAGCTACAGCCGGCTTGCGGCGGCCAGCATGCTGCACCAAGCCAGGAACCAAGAGTTTCCTCCTGGTCTCCCATGCGGGTGCAGGGCCCAAGCACTTGGGCCATCCTCCACTGCCTTCCCGGGCCACAGCAGAGAGCTGGACTGGAAGAGGCGCAACTGGGATAGACTCCAGCACCCTGACAGGGACTAGAACCCGGGGTTCTGGCGCCGCAGGCAGAGGATTAGCCGATTAGCCAGGTGAGCCGCGGCGCCGGCCTGTATGTTATTTGTAAAATAAATTCGAATGCTGTAATAAAATGGCTGCAGTCTTCTAAAGTAGCCAAAGTGATAATACTAAAAATACTTCATTATATTAACATCTTGGATTTTGTATGCCTTTATTTTTCAATTTTTGCTCTGAACATTGCATATAACTCTTTACCCTTTTACTCTCAATTCTTTAGCTCACTTCTATTTCAATATCATGACCCCTTCCCCTGGAAATCACCGATTGAAAATCACACTTACTCTGATTTTTTTGTACTGTGGTGGTGAAATCTAAGCTGGGGATCACAAATTAACAATTTAAACACCAAGTTAAACTCCAAACAAAAATACTAAGTTACATATAAATAAAAGAATTAGACTAAAGAATGTACCATTTTTGTTCCCTGGTGGTAGAAGAAATTATCAACTAGCCAGCTACACAACTGTGAATTAGTATCATGAACTTCAAGGGTATCTGGTGCCATCTACTGGAAAATAAGCAGTAAGCAGACAACAGGTCTTAGGGTTTTATTTTTCTCCTAGCAATTATTTTATACAATGTAGACAATGACTAGTTTTGAAGAACTGAAAGTCCGAAGAGGAAGGAGAAGTCTCAGGTCAGCAACCCTCAATGCCTCGGACCTCAAAGCATTACCAGATTGATGGGTACAGGCACTTCCCGCCCCCCATAGAATTGAGAATTCTAGAATGTTTGAAACTTAATTTTAACCAAAAATCTATGTGTGACAGCACAAACATGGGATGACAGTTTATATAACTGAGCCTACAGCAAGATAAACAGACTGGGCAGCACAGCTGAAAATGAGGAAGAAGAGAGAGACATGAAACATTATGCTAAATAGATCTACACTGGTCTCAGGAAGCTGAGCCAGCCCTCCTCCTCTGGGGGCTCTTCCTCCCCGCGGGCACAGGCAGGTGTTCAAAAGTTAATGCCAATGTTGGACAGCAGCTTCCCTCCAGGGTGCAGGGTTTCTGACAGAGGTGGGTGTTCAGCACCTCAGGGCAGCAGAGAAGACGGTCATAATCCTTAAGTGCTTATAAAAGCCCCTATCAGCTGTTAACATGCTGCTTCTAATTCCCACATCCCATATCAGAGTTGGGGCTAATGTCCCTGGCTCTGATTCCAGCTTCCCGCAAATATGCACTCTGGATCGTCCAAGTGCTTGGGTCTTTGCTACCCACGTGGGAGACCCAGATTGAATTCTGGGCTCCTGGCTTAGGCCTGGCCTTAGCTATTGAGGGGCATTTGGGATGGAAGATCTCGCTCTTTGCCTTTTATATAAATACAAAATTTTAATAAAAGCTATCTCTATTTATGAGTTTGACATATAACCAGTGGGACATTAAAATGAATTTTCAAAATAAGTTTCTCAGGAATTGATTTTGTTCTTTGAGTTGTAAAAAATCAGGACTGGGAGTTCTGCTTCAGTAGTAGCAATCCCCTTCTTTGTGGCTGCTTTGGACACTTCCAGCACCATGATAATGTGGTACCATAATGTTTCAATATCTTTTTTTAAAAAAAATATTTATTTATTTATTTGAAAGGCAGAGTTATAGAGAGGCAGAGGCAGAGAGAGGTCTTCCATCCACTGGAAAATTCCCCAAATGGCCGCAATGGCCCAAATGGCCACAACAGCTGGAGCTAGGTCAATCCAAAGCCAGGTGGAGCTTCTTCCAGGTCTCCCATGTAGATGCAGGGGCCCAAGGACTTGGGCCATCTTCCACTGCTTTCCCAAGCATGTTAGCAGTGAGCTGGATCAGAAGTGGAGCAGCCGGACTCAAACCAGCACTCATATGGGATGCCGGCAGTGCAGGTGGCAGCTTTATCTGCTACGCCACAGCACTGGCCCCAGATTTCAAAATTTTTAAAAACTGCTTTGCAAGAATCAGTCACTCTACAAATATCTGTGGTTTTAAAAAACAGCAATAACTGAATAAATTGTGGTAAATACATTACTCAAAACACTATGTACCAGTTATTCTTTTAAAAACTCAATATACATAGGGGCCAGCGCTGTGGTGCAGCGGGTTAAAGCCCTGGCCTGAAGCACTGGCATCCCATGTTGTCACCGATTCTAGTCCCTGCTGCTCCCTCTTCCAGTCCAGCTCTCTGCTATGGCCTGGGAAAGCAGTAGAAGATGGCCCAAGTCCTTGGCCCCCTGCATCCACGTGGGAGACCCAAAGGAAGCTCCTGGCTCCTGGCTTTGGATCGGCGCAGCTCTGGCTGTTGCGGCCATGTGGGGAGTGAACCAGCGGATGCAAGACCTGTCTGTCTCTACCTCTCTATAACTCTTTCAAATTAATAAAATAAATCTTTGAAAAAAAAAAAAGTCAATGTACATATACTGGCATGGAAAGATCTCTAAGGCACAGTGTTAGTAAATGAGTTGTAAAATGATCCCTACTTGACATTTGTGTAAAAGGTAAAAAAAAAAAAAAAAAAAAAAAACAGGCTGAACTATGTATTGTCTTCATTTCCAACTGCTGCTTACATCCATGCATAAATAGAGGAAGGACATATGCAAGGGATTAAGAGGGAAGAAGGCACAATCCTGGGTACTACTCTAAAGGTAATTAGCTTTGTCCTATTAGAAATTTTTTAAAGAAAAATGTATCCATTTATTGCTTGGGTAACTAAAGGTCAAAATGAAGACCATAAATAGTGGTTAAATAAAAAAGGTTACAAGACTATATTCATGAACTTAACTGTTATCAATTAAGAGTTTTAACTCTGTGCCAGGCCCCTGAGTGGTTGCTGGGCCACAAGCTCTGATTCTCAGAGCTCACTGTCTACTGGAAAAAGCAGACAATAATAAATGAATGCTGTGTGTATGTCAGGCAGTGGTAACTGGTATGAGAAAAAGAGGTGTCTGGAGAGCATGTGAAGAAACTGGAACCTTACATATTGCTGGTGGGGACGTAAAACAATGGAGCTGCTTTGGCAGACAGTGTGTGACAGTGCCTCCAAAGTTAAACACACTGCTTCATATGACCCAGCAATTTCACTCATAAGTATGTAACCAAGAAAACTAAAAATATATTCATACAAAAATGTATACAAATATTTGGGCAACATCACTCATAAAGGAAAAGAGCCCATCAACTGATGAATTTTAAAAATGTGGTTATACCTACAGAAAGGAGTATTATTTGGCCACAAAAAGGAGTGGTGCACTGACACATGCCACAACATGGATGAGCCTTGAAAACATCGCGTTGAGTGAAAGAAGTCACGTTTTGTATGAAATGTCTACGATGGGTACGTCTGTAGACAAAGTACATTAATGGTTTCCAGAAATAGGGGATGGGAAATAAGGAGTGATTCTTAATGAGTACAGGGTTTCTTTTAGGGGTGATAAAAACATTCTGGGATTGGATAGCAATGATAAATCCCAACTCTGGGAATATACTAAAAAGCACTGAGTTGTAAATGTTAAAAGAGCAAATTTTATGTTTTGTCCATTTTATCTCTGATTTTTATATGTTAAGAAAAGCATCAAATGAGATAAAGGGATAGAGAGGGAAAGGTTTGCTGTTTTGGATAGGGTGGTCAGGAATGACCTTAGTTTGAGCAGAGACCTGAAAAGGTAGAAACTATCCATGCAAATCTGGGAAGTGGGGAAGGAGAAGGAACATTCCAAAAGGAGTGAAGAACACGGACATAAGTCTACTTTCAAAGAACAGCCAGTGTGGTTGAATGCACTGAGAAAGAGGTGAGGCTGTGAGAAGCCAGGGTCCAGGTTCCACAGAGAGCCTGTAAATCACAGGAAAGACTGGACTTTACTCTCAATGGTAGAAAACCACTGGAGCCAGTAACAATGTGACCTATAGTAACAAGAGTAGACAGAGGAAGACAGGGTATTGCAATGTCCAAACAAGAAGGATAGATTAGATTAGGTGAAAGAAATTGGTCATATTCAAAACATGCTGACGTTAGAACCAATAAAATGTGTCAATGAGGGATCTGGCCCTGTGACACATTTGGTTAAAGCCCTGGCCTGCAGCGCTGACATCTCCTATGGGCACTGGTTGGAGTCTTGGCTGCTCCACTTCCAATCCAGCTACCTGCTATTGTGCCTGGGAAAGCAGCAGAGGATGGCCCAAGTCCTTGGGCCCCTGCACCTACATGGGAAACCTGAAAGAAGTTCTAGCTCCTGGCTTTGGATTGGCCCAGCTCTGGCCGTTCTGGCCATTTGGGGAATGAACCAGCAGATGGAAGACTCTCACTCACTCTCTCTCTCGGTAACTCTTTCAAATAAATAAATCTCTAAAAAAAAAAATTTGCCAATGAGTCAGATGTGGAGCATGCAAGAAACAAAGGAATGAAGGATGAACTTAAGGATTTTGATCTGAGCATACGAGTCAAAGAATGAGTTATTTATTAAGAAAGTCTTGGCGGTGCCGTGGCTCACTTGGCTAATCCTCCGCCTGCGGTGCCGGCACCCTGGGTTATAGTCCTGGTTGCTCCTCTTCCAGTCCAGTTCTCTGCTGTGCCCCAGGAGGACAGTAGAGGATGGCCCAAGTGCTTGGGCCTCTGCACCTGCATGGGAGACCAGGAAGAAGCTCCTGGATCCTGGCTTTGGATCGGATCAGCGCAGCGCCGGCCATAGCGGCCATTTGGGGAGTGAACCAACAGAAGAAAAACCTTTCTCTATGTCTCTCTCTCACTGTCTAACTCTATCTGTCAAATTAAAAAAAAAAAAAAAATAGAAGAAGTACAATAGGTGATCAAATTTCAGATGCAGTTAGGATTTTAAAATCTAGCTAAAGACTTGTAAAGTCATGAAAATACAAGGAAAATCATTAATTAAACAGAATGGTTTAAATAGAAAAAGATTAGAAAATAATTTGAATGTTCTTCAGTGGGGAATCACTTAAATTATGGTCCATCCTACAATGAACCATAATGCAGCCCACAGAAAACAAAAGAGGTAAATTTACACATATTGATAAGAAACATCGGGCCGGCGACGCAGCTCACTAGGCTAATCCTCCGCCTAGCGGCGCCGGCACACCGGGTTCTAGTCCCGGTCGGGGCGCCGGATTCTGTCCCGCTTGCCCCTCTTCCAGGCCAGCCCTCTGCTGTGGCCAGGGAGTGCAGTGGAGGATGGCCCAGGTGCTTGGGCCCTGCACCCCATGGGAGACCAGGAAAAGCACCTGGCTCCTGGCTCCTGCCATCGGATCAGCGCGGTGTGCCGGCCGCAGCGCGCCAGCCGCGGCGGCCATTGGAGGGTGAACCAACGGCAAAGGAAGACCTTTCTCTCTGTCTCTCTCTCTCACTGTCCACTCTGCCTGTCAAAAAAAAAAAAAAAAAAAAAAGAAACATCTTTCTTTGTTTTAAAAGATTTATTTATTTGAAGGACAGAGAGAGAGAGAGAGAGAGAGAGAGAGAGAGAGAGAGAATCGAGAGGCTTCCATTCACTAGTTCACTCCCCAGATGGCTGAAATGGCCAGGGCTGGGCCAGGCAGAAGCCAGGAGCCAGGAGTTTCCTCTTGGTCTCCCACATGGGTGCAGGGGCCCAAGCTCTTGGCCATCCTCCAGTGCTCTCCCAGGACCATTAACAAGGAGCTGGAATGGAAGTGGAGCAGCCGGGACCAGAATGGGATGCAGCTTTACCTACTATACCACAATGTCGGCCTGAGATAAGAAACATTTTAAGATATACTGGCTAGTGAACAAAGGCCAAGTGCAGAATGCTGTGTAGAGTTTGTTTCTGTTTGAATAATAAAATAAGATACATGTAAACAGATATGCTTGTGTACATATGAATAGCACTGAGAGGATATAAAGCTGACTTGGCATTAAACTCCATTTTTATCATCTGAATGGTGTTACACTAGTTTGTAGTACTTACTGAAAAAACAAACAAACAAACAAAAAAACCTCTTTAGAATATAGCCATAGTTTTAATACAATGGAGACATGAAATAAAATGGGTGATGGTTATTACCTTCAAGATAAAAAAACAGATTTTTTTCAAATGAGAAAAAGATAAGCTTGACAAAAAATGGATCTAAGATTTGGAATTTGAATTCACAAAAGATATACAATTTTAAAATATTAATTCTCTCTACAGGAACTAAACAAAAATAAAACCGAATACCATTATTTCCCATCTGACAGAAAGCTTTAAAAAATAAGTATTACTCCTAATATTTGTGCATATGAGATGGGAATGCTCAGACATTACAGAAGAGAGTTGGCTGTCACCCTCTAGGCAGATATGTCAAAGCTTGAAAACACACACACACATGTACACACGCGCGTGCGTGCACACACACACAGACACACACACCTTTATCTTATCCAGCAATGCTGCATTTAAGAGCTGCTGAGGGAACAATGGAACAGTACAATATAGATAGATAGATACCTATGGGTAGAGACAGAGTAGTCACAAGGCAAGTGAGGCAACACAACATTGACCAACTAGTGAACTATGGTTCAACTACGTAGCTACTAAAAGCTCAATATCCAAGTACTTAAGAGTATAAAAGGTGATGTCCATAATAAAGGGAAGAAAGTAGTTTAAAAAACTGAACTATTTATACATTCTGATCTCACTGGTGAGAAATGTACACTCCATAGAGCCTGGAAAGACATATACCAAAATGTTAACATTGACTATTTCTGGGAGTAGATTAAACATGATTTTTGGCTTTTCTTTTACTTTTTGGTATCTTCCCCCCATTTTTAATTTTTTAAAAATAACCAGCATACATTCCGTTTACAAAAGGAGTTACCCAATAAATAGTATCTGAGGAAAACATTTTTTCATTCTTCCAATTTTTCAACTACTAAGAATCAAGATATCCCAATCTATGTATGAACAAAGAAAATGTCTAGGGAAGTTTTCTATCTAGTAATAAAAATACTTGTCAAATATAAAAGGGTAGAAATATTGCTTTATTGGAAAAAATTACTGTCCTGTTTTTGAAAAAAAAAAAAAAATGTCCTAATGAGCATTCAAAAAGAAAGCACATACAGTTTCCACAGGAATAAGGACAAAGAAAATGGGCTGATGACTGCCCCAAATGGTATTTCCTAAGAGAAAAACACTAACATTCAGCCTTTCTTCTTCTGAGGCACGGTAAGTGGGCTACGCACATCATAAATAAGATTTGCTTACTTTATAAGGAGAAGAACTGAGATCTTCTTTTTGATGCATATTAAATACATGTATAAAATCCACTCTCTGATCAAGATGAGAAAAAAATCAGTCTTCAGTTTTTCAATTCTCATGCAATGAAATCCAAAGGTCTGTTGAATCCACCTTTTCGGTTCATATATTGCCTATGATGAGAAGAGAAAATTGAATGTTCGCCAAGAGAAATATTCTAGACTTGTCTTATAAA